AAAAACCGAAATCAAGCAAGCTACCTCTCCAATGCCTTTGCTTTCCTCAATGCCTATGAACCTTTTCAATCTATCAAATATATATACATATTTGTAAGTTAACGAGTCTACAGACATCATATTACTCTATGTCTAGCTTAGACCCAAAATTCACCTAACTTTATATATATATCCTAAAATTCAAACCTAAGAATAAGTCTTAATTCCTCCACTTAACATAATTTTAATAATAATCATATAACATAATACACCAAATATTTAATTACCTATCTCAATATATCAACCTTTAATTTCTTATATCATAACAAAATTTTATAATATTAACATTAGGCCACTGGTTACGAAACCGGTGGCAGAATAGTAACCATTTATAATATTAACATTAGGCCACTGGTTACGAAATCGGTGGCAGAATAGAATAGTAACCGTCGAAGACAATTCCTAATTTCCCACTAACATTCACAATTAAAGCCACTGGTCACGAGACCAGTGGCACACATGCATAAATTTTTCTCCTAATTGTTAGTAGAAACCATTTGCATATCATCCCTTAATTAATAATATAACCTTAGCAATTGAAGCAACTGGTCACGACACCACTGGCGCACATGCATTATCCTTAAAAAAAATCAGTAGTTACTCATATACAGAAAAGGTACCCAAAAAAAAATATATGCACCATGTTCTGTTGATGCTCCCGTGATTTTTCTTCGTTCCACTTGCTTTTCTCCGTTTCCGCTCTTTTCTTTTCTTTACGAATTATTTGTTACCCTAATTATTATACTTATCTAATTATAATAGTGATAAAAGTGACCTACTATTAATTATAATATTATTTTCTTAACCACTAACTAAATAAATTAGTAAAACTATCCCATTAATTTCATAGTTATAATTATGAATAGTCCAAAACACCCATTTAAAGTCTATCGGAAGAATAGTTATGAAAAAAAAATCTCTAATACTCAAAACGACCAAAAGAGTCGTTACAATTTAATTTGTGTTCTAACCAGACAATTTCTGAAATCATAAAAAAGAAAAAGAATATTCATATTATGAGTTGATTAACTCGTTTTTTATCTGTATTAAATATAATTAGCTAAAATATTTATTTATTTTTATTTAACTTATTTTCAATCCAACTTGCGCATTTGCTACTATTCAAGATCAAACGAACCTCCTAGAAATATTTTTTTTCAATTCAGCATGAAATTAAGAATACAAGTATGTGGTGAGTAGATGCAAAGTCAAAAGAGGACAAAACCTAGTATTTGCCAAAGACGTGCTTTCTGTTGGATGAATCAAAATTTATTTGAATTTTGCAAAGAAAAGAAAAGAATCGCTTACGAAGAAACTGGCAAAGAATATATTAGAATCTTCTTAGAATAAAGTTTCATAATTAACAAACAGGTCTCCATACGGCATCTAAAACTAAAGGTCCACAAGAAATTAATGTTACGTACGTTAGTATATATTGACCCCAATATACTTTTCTTCATGTTCTCGATTTAGGATCTTTTATATATATATATACTATATATATATATATATATATATATATATATATATATATATATATATATATATATATATATATATATATATATATTGTATTTAATTTGTATTTCTGAATTACATTATGGAGCTCAGATGTGAATTTTATTTTATTTTTTCACTTGAGTTCTATGTGGCCTGGTATATGTAGGACATCATATACAATGTCTTTGTTGGTAGATCACTCTATTTTCGACTTCTAATAAACGTGATTGATCTAATTGTCATGTAAGATAATACGCGTGTGTCTATTTGTTTTATACAAGTTTAAGTGTTTACTGCACACTCAAAATTTAAAAACATAAATGCAAGCTTATATTATGAGTGCGGAGTTAAAAGGGTAAAAAAAATTGTCAAAAATTCCAAAAGGGCATATCAATTTCTTTTAAAACTAAAACGGTAAAGACGCTAGCGACTTGTAACTTCTGAAAAAACGAAATCGCTGCCATAGCAGCGATTTCTTAAAATTGCCTTTTCTTTTTTT